TAGAGCCAGGACCTCTTTTGCTGGCTCCCAGGCCCCTGACCCTCATCTCACCTAAAGTGTCACAGTGTCTCCTGCCCAGATTCCTGACTGGCTTCCAGAAGCAGCTCCTCGAGCTCCTTCTCATTCTTGGAGCAGCTCAGCTCTGCCCGGGGAGAAAGGGTAGGTAGCCTCCAGTCAGGCAGGTGGGAGGGGATGGCAGCCCGGCCCCACCAGCCCTCAGGGCAGGGTACCACTGAGATCATCAGGCTCTAGTCAACAAACCTCACGTGCCCCACCCCCTGGGAGAGCTCCCAGGACCCAAGGGAGGCAAGGTGGGGACTGTCCCACTCATCCCTGTCCCTACAAGGGCTATTTTAGGGAAAACTGAGGCCCACTAATGGGCAGGGGTCACACACAGCACCCAGGGCCCCCTGTTCCCCTATCCCAGAGCTCCTCTCACCATGTTCCAGGCCACAACTGCCCGCCTTGGCCTCGGGCCCCGGGGGTGGCTCTGGGGGCAGTGCGAGGGCAAACTCGGGCTTCAGGCCATTGGGCAGCGGTGGCCCTGACTGAGGCGGCTCTGGCTGTGGCTGAGGCTCAGATGACCCTGGGTCCCGAGTGCTGATGGCCTCAGCTGGTGGTAGGGCAGGTGATTCGGGTGGGGAAGATAAGGCAGGTGGGGAGGGAGGACAAGGAGAGGGTGACACAGGGGGCTCTGCTCTCTCAGGTGGGCTCTCCACTCGAGTCACCACAAACACTTTGTGGCCTCGGCCTGGGCTGGACACAGAAATTCGCTGCTCAGTGGGGGAGGAAGGGCTGCCTGGGGGGCTCCTGTCCCCAGGGCCCAGGGAGTCCGTTGGGGGCACTGGGGTGGGGCAGGGGGCCATAGCCCTCTCCTCATCCTCCCCCTCAGAGTCTGAGTCTGAGTCTGAGTCCAGGCCAGGCCCGGGTGCTGGGTCCCCATTCTCCTGTGCCTGGGCGGCAGGCTCGTCCCCGGGCTCCTCGTCAGGCTGGGGCTCGGTGACGGTGATCTCGGGCATGGAGGCTGACAGCTGCAGCCGCTGCTCCTTCTCCTCCCGCTCCCGCGCCAGCACGAAGTTGCGCTTGCAGCCATTCTGGATCTCGGCGAGCAGCGCCTTCTGCGTCTCAATGAAGCTCTTCACCTGTGGGCAGAGCGGGCCTGGCTAGGGCTCTGGGTGGCCTGTCCCTGCAGTGGGTCCTGCGGTCACCCCAGGCCGGGCCCACCCCCACCTGCCCGCAGCCAGGCACAGGGGAGAGCCGCTCACCGCCTCCTTCTTGGGCTCACGGTCAAGGTCCAGGCGCAGCAGGGAGTGGTTCACCTTGAGGGCCAAGGACAGTGCCATGAGCCCGCCCGTCTTGATCTCGTTCTCCCGAAGGTCCAGTCTCAGGAGGCGGGGGCTCTCGGCGATGAACTCCGCCACCGCCACCGCGCCTGGGAGGGGGACCGCAGGGGCTGGCCACGGGCCCAAGCCCGGCTGGCCACCCACCAACCCGGCCTGCCCGGCCCCCTTCGCCCGCCCCGTGCCCTACCCTCGCAAGTGAGCTTGGTGGAGGCCAGGCCGAGGCGCAGCACGCTGCGGTTGCCGATGAGGCCATTCTTGAGGTTCCGCACGCCCTCATTCCCAATGGGGTTGTGGCCCAGGTTCAGCGTCTCCAGGCTCTGTGTGTGCGGCTGCAGGGGTGGCGCGTGAGAGGAAGAAGAGGCCCTGAAGGCCATTCGGGAAAGAGGCAGACCTGTGCGGTCTCCAGCAGTGCAGCCAGTCTGAGTGCCAGCACACTCCTGCTTAAGGCCAAACTCCTCGTGTACCCAGAAGTCTCTCCAGTGCCAGCTGCCCTGTCCACTCCCCACGCCCAGGCCCGCCCTCTGCTCCTGCCAGTAGGGAAAGCCAGTGAGCCAGGAGGTGGGCGGGAGGAGAGGGGGATCAGCAGGAGGAATTCAGTTTCTCCTGGGGGAGGGACTCTGGCCATGGGGAGTTCTTCACCTGGGTCTGAGCCTTTGAACCCTGTGGGCTTGCTTTAAATTCTGTGTAATGAAAAGGTGTAAGACTTACTGAAGGCTTCTAGAAATATTAACTTACTATGCAAAACATTTTCACCCTGTGCAAAAGCTCTGTGCTAGGATATGGTGATGGATGCAAAAAGACAGTGACTGAAGGACTACTCCCCGCAGGGAAAAGAGGGTACAGAAGCTGAGGGAAAGGCCACACAGGGCTGAAAGTGGAGAGGAAATGTTCCTGAACCTGCAGGACGAGCAAGGCTGAGGGATGTGCTAGGAGGGAGGCGGCAGTGCTGGGACCTGGGAGCAGTGGTGGGGGTAGGGACCCTCTCCCAGCCCACTCACCAGCGTCATGCCCAGGAAAGCCATGCCCGTGTGTGTGAGCTGGTTGTTCCACAGCACCAGGGTCACCAGCCCCTTCCTCTGCTCCTTGAGGCCTTCACAGATGTAAGCCAGACCTGGGGGAGGCCCATGGGTAAGTCCCATCTGTGGTCTGGGTGCTTCCCCACGGGACACGAACATGGGAACCTCCCGGGGCTCCACCCTCCCCTTGGTCTGCCCAGTCCCATAGGCTGCGGCCTGGCATCTCCTGCTATGTCACCCCTGCCTTGGCACGCACACACACAGCTCCTGATCCCTGGGCCGGGAACATTCCTCCATCTGCCTAGATCTCTGCTCGAGCATCACCTCTCCCCAGTCTCTGGCCAGCCAGCTTAGCTCACCATCGGCATTATTTTGCTCCAGACACATCTCACCATCTGACAGACTCAACACTCTATTAGTTTATCTTGGCTATGTCTTTCCCAAGGGCAGAGGTCTCAGCTGGGAGCCCGGAGGCGACAGGCCTGGCACGGGGTAGGTAGTCAGTAAATGTGGTGTCTGGGCCTGGCTGCCTGGGGGAAGGCATTGGCCTCAAGTCCCACTCTCCCTGCCTGGCCTCGCTCCCCCTTCTTCGCACTGAGGTGTGACTCTGCCCAACAGTGAACCAGGCCACAGCTGCCCTCCCCAGGAGAAACTGAATTCCTCCCGCTGATACCCCTCTTCTCCCATCCACCTCCTGGCTCACTGTGGCTTTCTCTGCAAAATACCCAGTGTTTAAGTTCTTTCCCACCTCAGGGCCTCTGCACTCGCTCCCCTCTGCCTGGATTCTTTTCCCAGGCTTTGAAATCAGCAGGTGCCGTTCTCAGCCTCCACACTGCCACCTAGAGGTCCCTCTCCCTGCGCCTTAAAGAGCCTGCAGTTTACCTTTGATCCCAATAACCCTGTTTCCTTTCAGGGCACTTTTCCCAGATTATAATTATTTTAATTATCTGTTCAATACCTCACCTCATCCTGCAGTTCTCCACTGAGCTGTCCCCTCCTCTAGGACACGCTCCCTGACCCCTAGACTGGGTGGGTACCCACTCTGGAGTCCTGTAGCCCAGCCCTGCCCAGTCTGATTTTCACTACCTGGAGGTGGTCTATGTTCCCTACTGGACTGTGAGCCCCATGAGAGCAGAGCTGGGATTGTCTTGGTCACTATTGTGTCCCCAGCAACACAGAGCACCTTGCTGGGCACAGTGGATACTTGGTGACTGGAGTAGGGGTGGGTGGACCTCACACACACCAGAGTCCAGCACGTGGTTGTTACGGAGGTCCAGGATCTGCAGAGAGCAGTTGAACTTGAGTAGGTTGCCCAGCTGGGCTGAATCCTGCAGGCCATTGAGCTTGTTGTCAGCCAGGTACAGCTCCCGAAGGTTCATGTTCATCTTCAGGGCCGTGGCTGGGGGAAGAGGACGGCTTTTGACTGGCCAGGCCCAAAGGACCCAGCCAACAGTCTCAGCCCCAAACTGAGCTGCACTTCACTACCCAGCCTCCCCGGGCCTGGGGCTCACCGAGCAGCATGAGGGGCCGTCCCGATAGGCTGGAGTTTTCCAGGTGCAGCACCGCCAGGCTGCTACGGATACGCAGAGCACGGGCCACGAAGGGCGCTGAGTGATCCAGCAGGGGCGTGTTGCGGGCGTCAAGGTACTGCAGACAGCTGGTCTGGTGGGGAAGGAGTGGAGCTGGGTCAGGTCAGCCCCAGCCCTCCCTGCCCTGGGGGACCTCCCACTCCAAGTCCCAGTGAGCAGCAGGGCTATCTGGTTTCACAGCTGGGGAAACTATGGCTGGTGCTGGAAGGCCTGGCCTGGGGTCCTTGTGGTTGAGTGAGGTCGGACTGGTGATAGCCGAGTTCTCTGCCGTGGGAGTACCATGGGAGTGGTGACAATGGATACCTCCAAGGGATAAATTAAGGGTAAGTGGAGGCGAGGAGGAGGGGTCAGGATGGGTCTGGGGCAGGGCACCTCTTAGTACCGCTTTCACACAGGGCCTGGAAGCTGGGGACCGACACCCCTAAAGGGATGGGTACCCTGAAAAAGCACCTGGACCCCTCTGTGCCTGAGCTCCCCCCACCCTGGAGAGGTTGCAGGGGAAGGCGCCCACCTTGCGCATCATGTGGGCGGCGGCCTGCCAGCCCCGGGTGCCGATGTGCTTGTTGAAGGAGATGTTGAGGTGGGTGGCTGACTCGTAGTACTCAATCATGTCAAAGAGGGCTGAGGCGCCCTGGGGGCAGAGACAATGGGGCTCAGCATCAGGTCGAGGCTGGGGGGGGGGCCAGGAGGTAGGAGCGGAGTTCTGACACTGCTCTGGCACCTCTGGGTCATGGGAACCAGCCCTTCCCATTTCTTGAAAAAGCCAGTCTACTTCCTCTTCTATGCCCCCCAGGACTGATGTGCCATGTGCCAGGACAGGCCTCTGGCCTCTCTTAACTGAGCCTCAGTTCTCTAGGATCCCTGCCCCTGACTCGCCTGCCTCTAGACCTGGGGCCCAAGCCCCTGGGCTCCTGGTGACCTCCAAGTTTGGGGAGGTAAGGATACCTAGGCCTAGTCAGGGAGGCTGCTTTCAGAACTTTCTCAAACCTGCCCTGGAAGGTGTGGGGTGTGGCTGAGTTGGTTGGAGTTGTGTCCTGTGCACTGGAAGGTCTCAGGTTTGATCCCCAGTCAGGGCATGTGAGAGGCAACCGATCAATGTCTCTCTCTCACTTCGATGTTTCTCTCTCTTTCCCCTCTCCCACCTCTAAAAATCAATTTTAAAAAAAGTTTTTTGAACCCCCTCCCCTGCAGATACCATGATGGGGTGTGGTGGGGTGTGGGGTGGGGAGGGACACTCCTGGAAAGGCTCCAGGTGGCCACAAGCCTCCTCTCCAGTCTGGCTCCCCAAGTATGTCCCTTGCTTACAAAGCCCCTTCCCTTGGGGTGGGTCTGTAAGACCCCTTCTCTCTGGGCCCCGCCCCAGAGCCCAACATTCCTTCCATTCACACTAGTCACACTGGATGTCTCCCTGCTTTGTCCCTCAAGAGGCCCTGCCCAGCCTTAGTCCAAGGGTGTTCCCTCCTCTTGCAGTGCCCTGGCCCCCAAACCTCTAGCAAGCCAGGGGGCTCAGGAAGCAAAGGCTGCTCACATCTTCGTCCAGGTTCGTCTGCTCCAGATCCACGACCTTGAACTGCAGCCTCTTGAACACCTCTTCCAGGGCCTCACAGGCCTTGTAGTCGAGCTTTTCACCTGGGAGAGATGGAGCACCATGCACGCATGCATGAGCTTGCTTCTGTGCGTGGTGGGGCAGAGTGCAAACAGGGGCTCCAGGACAAGGGAGGGAGAAAGGGCTCTCGCCCCCACACCTCTTTCAGGCCCAGCTCCTGCCCCTAGCTAAGCTGTTCTGGTAGGACCCACTGACCGCAAGCAGGCCCAGGCCCACATTCTGCCCTTGGACCCACCTCCAGGGAAGCTTGACCCTGCCCACTACCCAAGGGCGCCCGGCCTCTGTCCATACACACACCTTTCAGGTCCAGACAGTCAATACGGTGCCCGAGGTCCGTGAACTCCTGGTAAAGTGGAATGGACGGTGGTTAAGGCAGGAGGTACCTGCAGGGGCCAGGCTGGACCCTGACAGTGGGGCAGTTGGGGCTCCACCTCGCTCTGCTATTTCTGAGGTGAGGCAGTGTTCTGAGGTGGGGGTGGAGGGACATAGCACCTCAGAGAGGAGGGCAGTTCCTCACCCACAGGACCTGAGGCGAGGCAGGCCTGGTGTAGCCCCTCTGCCTCCTCAATGGAGTGAGGGAGTGGGCCCTGGGTGTCTCCAGGGCGAGCATTTCAGGCAAAGGGATGAGCCAGTGCAAAGGCTGTGAGGCAGGCACTAAGGCCACGAAAGCTGACAGGTCAAGCCCAAGAAGGCCTGGGGTGAAGGCAGGGTAGCAGGCCTGGCACACAGCTAGCATTCAATAAAGAAGAGTAAAGGTAATGGATAGGCATCTTCCCGGCCCCCTCCTGGCTCTGAGCTCTACACACATCAACCCAAAGGGTAGGTGCTGTGATGAACCCGTGTGTAGACAAACAGGCTAAGGCCCAGCCTTGTCTAGGGTCACTTGCTAGTAAGGGCAGGCAAGTGACCAGCTCCAAGGGCCCACACTCCTGGCCACCACACTGAATGGCCATTTTTCCCTGGACCTGACAATAAGACCTTCTGGAATCCCCCACAGAACCCCTAACCCAGGTGTGCAGGGATGGGTGGCCAGGATGACCGCTCACAGGTGCGCTGTCCAAGGGAGCAACAACCCTGGAAACCAGAAACCTGGGAACATTCTGCAGGGCACTACAGTGCTTTACCCACTAGGCCAGGCTGGTGGGCCACAGGGAAGGCACCTACAGGAGACAGCTGGGGGTGGGGTAGGGGTGGGCTGGCGCACGTCCAGGTACAGTAATACCTTCGTCATATAAAATCGGAGACTGCCCTCCTGTCTGCATAGTGACCACCGTCTTACAAATGCCCAAGAGAGGCCAGAGGACAAAACCCCAAGCTGCCAACAGAAGGAACTCCTGGGGTTTGGACTTGGGCAAGAAATGAATTTTGCTTTCTATGTCTGTAATATTTTGATTTTTAAAAAATTAGAGAATATATATTACTTTTGTAATTCAGGCTTTTAAGAATAAATACTGTATACTTGGCTTTCCCCCTGGGGAACAGAACTTCTCTGTGGAGTGACAGATACTTGAAATTTTTACTTTACATAATTCACTACTGTTTAAATATTCATGAGGAGCCTGATTACTTTTTTTAAAGATTAAGAAGCATTTATTTGAACAAAAAGAACTGCTGCCAAGGAGATACAGATTTAGTTAGCAATCTAAACTGTCTTCCACCAAGCCCTGATTACTTTTACAGCTGAACAGGGGATTTTCCAAGATGTATGTACATACTTGGGCCCTTGGCAGTGGGAGTGCTGTATGCGCCCTCTTGCTGGGCAGACAACAGAGGCACGGAGGCTGCTGGGAGGTGCGGCTGCTGGGAGGTATGGGGAGCACAGCTTCACTCAGGGGGCCCCTTCCCACCCCTCCCCCTAACTCCCTCCCCAGCCTGGCATACCTGGAGCTGCCTGAGGAGCTTGGGGATCTGTCTGCAGTTCAGCTTCTGGCAGGCCTGCTTGTAAGCGCCGATGACCTCGTCCACAGTCACGTTCTGGGCTGCAGGCACAGAGGACCCCTGCCTGTGACTTTCCACATTCTGGGCCCCTTCCACCCACTGTCCTAAGACCTCTGCCAGCCCCCTTCCACTCTCCCCTTCCCACTATAAAATGCCCCTTCCAACAACCCACTGGTCTCCGTCTTCCCATTGAGGGCCCTTGCTGCCACTGCTGTCCTGGGGAGGTGCACCCAAACCAAGTCACCCCACCCTCCACACCTCCCCATGGCTCCCCGAACAATTTCACACGAATGACACACAACTAATATCACACAGTGTTCTACTTGTCAGCTGCCTCCCCTGCTAGACTAGGAGCCCCACAAGGGCAGGGCGGAGGCTGTGTGGGTCACTACCGTTCCCCAAGGCTGTCTAGCCCAGGGCCAGGCCCAAAGCAGGTGTCTGACGCATTTGTTTTTTGGATGAGAGAATGAACCTGTACTCCAGCCCTATGAAGCAGTGGAGCTCAAAGAGGTGAAGCTCCTCACCTGAGGCCACACAGCTGGGAAGCGAAAGAGCCGGGCTTCAAACTCAGCCCCTGATGGCACTGCTGCGTGGCCTCTGAAAACCCCCACTCTGAAACGCCCTCAGCAGCAAGCCTTCCCCGACGGCTCTCAGGGCTGGGCAAAGGGATGCAGCCCAAACCCAGCAGTTGCACAGCCCAGGGCCCACCACCTCATGGAAGGGAGACTGGCCTTTCTGGTGGCACACATTGGCCATTCCCAGACATGTAATAAAGACGGAGGTAAGCAGCATGGCGACTTTGTGGCTTCTTTCAGCGCATAAGGATTCTGAGTTTGGGCCCTTTTACAGTGCTGCGAAGTAGCTGTCTGATGTACCATTTACCAGGTAGTGAAACATTTGTATTGTTTTCAGTTTTTGGCTATTAGATCTTGGATTTTGCCCCAGGGTGACCAGGAGGACACGAAGGAAAGGCTCTGAGCAAGGGAGAGACGGAGGGACGGGGCAGGCCTGGTGTAGAAAGCTCTTGGGGCCAGCAGAAGGTAGTGGGCAGGAAAGGGGGCAGGAAGAGGGCTTCTGGCAGCCCTTCTCAGCCTTCCCTCACCCTGGTGCCATCCTGGCCCGGCCCTTGGGGACCAGCAGGAGCCCCTGCAGAGGTTCCAGGTAAGCTGCTCTGAGCAGACTCTCCCTCCAGGCAATGCTCTTGCCAATGGCCCTGCATCCCAATCTCATCAGTCACTACCCTGTTTCCTAGGGCAGGAAGCTGAGGTCCAGGAAAGGAAAGCTGCCTCCCCACAACCAGGCAGCGGTGCAGGTCACATTGGAACATTTGTTCCCGAACTCTCTCTCCACTGTGCTGGGTGGGGGTGGGGAGGCTGGAACCACTGTACTGGAGGTAAGAAGTCAACAGAGACCCCAGCCTGCCCAGAGGTCAGGCCTGTCCTCTGCCTCAGACTTCTTCCTGCGGGGGTGAGGGGAGCTGCAGGCCATGAGCAGCCCTCCGGGTGCCAGCTGTCCTCCGCAGACCCAGCGAGGGAGCTCTCTGCCATGTGCCTGGTACCCCAGCCCTGGGGAAAACAGGAGCTGGCCCTGCCTGGACGGCAGCCCTTGGGACTCAAGCAGCTGCCTCAGCGACTACAGCCAAGCAGGGTCCATGACCCTCAGGAACCTATGAACTTGAGTGGGGAAAATGGCCTCTCTGTTTTCACTAACTGTATGAAGCTGAAATTCAGCATTTTCTTCTGATTAATGTAGGCAAAGAGAGAGAGAAAACAGTGTTTAGCAGACCTGTGACTGTCATCAATCCACATGGCAAATACTTTCACGTTACTGCAGCTTTAGGATGCTCGTCACTACTTTGAAAAGGGTAGTCATCAGAGCAGCCGCTATCTCCTGTTCTTTCATGTGTCAACAAGGAAAACATAAATACTAGATAATAATTTTAAAAAATTTAGCTAACTGTATTTTAACTGGTATCCTTTGCAATCCTATTTTATTTTTAATTAATTAACTTTTTAAATATACCTTTATTGATTTCAGAGAGAGAGAGAGAGAGAGAGAAAGAAACATCAATGATGAAAGCGTCATTGATCGGCTGCCTCCTGCACGCCCCCAACTGGGGATCGAGCCCACAACCCTGGCATCGTGCCCTGACCGGGAATCAAACCCCAATTGCCTGGATCCTAGGTTGACGCTCAACCGCTGAGCCATGCCCAGCCAGGCCTATTTCATTTTTTGCCTTTAAAAATCATCACTCCAAGAAGGGGTCCACAGGCTTTATCATCAGATGGCCAAAGGGCACAAACCTATCCCCGAGATACATGCTTCCATAAAGGCCCCAGGCTGGGTTGGCCTGGTCAGGTCAAATGGGGATGGAGTAGGGACTGGGCACACATGGGATCATCACTAGCAGTTCTTAGCATCCCAGACTGTCTATAAGGAACAACTGACACCTAAGTAACCCCTCAAACTGCGACCGGTCCTTGAGGTGTTCAACTCTAACATCCCTTCCTCCAGGAAGTCCTCCCTAACCTCCCAGACTGAGCAAAGCTTCCCTTCTGCGTCCCAAAGTCCTCAAGGATACTCTTGGTGAGCTAAAGACCCAGGGTCTCTAACCTGGCCTCTTCCACACCACCCATGGCTACCATCTGACCATCCCTTCAGCCAGGCATCTACCAGGTTTTGACAAAGGCACAGCTTCACACAAGGTTACAGCCAAAACTCAGGAGACTAAACCTGCCCACCCATTTACAGAAGGGGAAACTGAGGGCAGTGGGTAGGAGGGGTAGATACACTCAGAGAAGGGGCTTGGTGCCCCCTGATGACAAGAATAAGAACTGCATCTTGTCACTTCCCTCAGGTGCCCGAAACACACTTTGGAGGTGGGGGCGGCAATAGGGAAAGGCACTAAAGGAACAGAAGTGGGGATCCTTGGTCCTATGAGATTGGGGAGCCAAGCTCAGAGAGGACAAGCTGTCTGCCCAAGGTCACAGAGCCAGGTGTGGCAGGACTGGAACACACACCCAGACTGCCTTGCTCTGAAACCAGAGCTTCATTCTCACACTACCTTGACTAGCCTGAGGGAGAGACAGGGGGCACAGGCAGACTAAGGGACCCTGGACTTTGGGCAGGGTCAAGCAGAAGGTGTGAGCTCTGGGGAGGGCCGTGCTATGGGGCAGCTGGCAAGCAGAGCCTCCAGCAGGGTGACCCTCTGCTGCCCCAGCAGCTGGCACCAGTTTCCCAGGAAGAGGCTGTGGAGCAAACAGCCTGCCTCCCCCTCCCCCTGCTAAGGCCCTCACAAAGAGACAGAGAAACCGGATGCTGGGCATCAGATGACAGGCAGAGAGAAGTTTGTCTCTCGTTGCACACAGGTGCAAAGGCACCCACGAGATGCAAGGACAGGTTGGACACCAGGGGGCGGCAATGACTCAGGCCATCCCTGCCAGCCTGGAGCTGGGGGAGACAGATACAGTCATCCATCCAAGTGGGAGTAAAAAACAAGGAAGC